CGGTTAAAGGCATTTTGTAAAAAAAGTTCACGAACGTACCTTCTCTACAGCGTTAACAATACGAAACTGTGCTTCAATGTTTTTGACAGTGTTGTCAAATAAAAAAAACTGGTATGTCAAATAAAAAAAACTGGTAAAAGATAATGCCAAACAAAAAGATTTTTATAGTCCAGGGGCTTGGATCACTAATAAAAGCTGTAAGATACAATTATTAAGAATAATGCTGTATGTTCTTGATAGTTTATCAAAGTAGTTGTAATAACAATACGTAATTTCATTTAATGTGTTTATTACGTTTATTCGTTATTTTCATTACTTTGTAAGTAAATTTTTGCATTTTTGCCCACCCTGTACCAATTTGAAGCAACATATTATACATTTTTGGAATGAGCTCAGCAAAGGCAATTTGGAAATTGAAAAAAAAGGGGGGTTCCATTTGAAAAAAATGGTGATGACGTCATTACACGAAAGTGGTTCACCCTGTATATTAGATTATGATTTGAAACAATAGTAAATTGAAATCAAAAATCGACCTGTTTTGGGAATTCCTAATTTTATTGTTCATTTAGCCAATAATGAATTTATGCGTTACTTTATGGACGCACTGTATATATTCTTTGTAAAAAAGATTTGGACTTATTATCAAATAGTGCCTAAGTCATAGCAGGTTAAGTTAACTTATTTCCTACATAAAGTTGTTTTAATTTATCTTGACTCTTACTAAATTTTTTATTTTTTTTAATATACAATGACGTATAATACTATTATTCTCTCCTTTCTTTCCACAACCATTAAATATTCCGAGCATTTGTAAAGCCTCGGCGTTTCTACCCCTAAGGACTAGAAAAGTCTAACAAATCCGCTCGATTACGCTAATAAGAGATACATTTTTTTCTATTGTTTCTTTTATTATTTTGTTTTACCACTCCAGGTTCCTATGGTTCTTAACAGTGCTGCTTCCATCTCTTAAAACCTAACCTAAAAACTGTGCATATGTTTGTTATTTTTGTATATAAAATTTCATGTTTTCGAGATTTTAGAATTTTAGAAAAAAGATGTTCTTAAATGGGATAGAGTAAGGTCCATTTTAAGCCCAATTTGCATATTTGTCCATATTTGGAAACTGAGGTAATGACTCATCGATTTTTTTTTTTTTTCGGAAACATACCTATATTTTTACAAATTTAAAAAGAGCTAATTTTTCTGAACAAATTTTATAAAGAAAAAAATTTGATATCTCCTTCACTTTAAAAATTATAAGCAAATTTGTAAAAAAGAAACAAATAATATATTACTTACAAGAGAGAGAAACAAAGCTTGTATACATAGTCAATCACTAAAACAAATTTTCAATGTGACCACCTCCTACTTCTAAACACTTATCCAATCTCCATCTTACTTCTCTTACCGAAGCCTTACGTAACATTTCTCTAGATAATTCATCGCAAGCAATTCTGATTTTGTCTTTTAAATGTTCCATGTTAACTGATGGTGTTCTGTAAACTTTATTTTTCAAAATTCCCCACAAAAATAAATCTAGTGGGGTCAAGTCCGGTGATTTAGGCGCCCACTGTATCGGTCCATTTATACCTATCCAATGTTCTCCATAAGTTTCATTCAAATATCGTTGGACAATTCTTGCTTTATGCGGTGGAGCTCCATCATGCTGGAAACACATATTTGCTCGAAGCTGTAATGGCAAATTTTCGAGAAGCAAAGGCAATTGTTCTTGAAAAAATTGCAAGTATCGCTCACTACATAAAATTCCTTCGTAAAAATATGGACCAATCAAATGCCCATTAATAATACCACACCAAACGTTAATTCCGAAATGCCCTTGGTTTTCAATCAGATTGACAAAATGTGGATTCTCAGTAGCCCAATAATGTTAATTTTTTTTATTGGGCTTACCATTACTAACAAAACGGCTTTCGTCCGTCCATAAAACATGCTGAAAAATGCGATTTTCATACTCTAACGTTTCCATCATTTGGGCAATATAATTCAATCTTCGTTGTTGGTGTTGATCTGATAAGTATTCTAAATTGTGAAGTTTATAATCGTGGTAACCATTTTCCTTCAAAATTTTTCGTACCGAAATATATTTTAAATTCAACTCACGACAGGCTTGCCGAATCGAATTTCTTGGATGGGTTTCAAAATACTGCAAAACAGTGGCAACAGTATTATCAGAATTGACTCTTTTAGCAATTTTTTTTCCCATTCGAGAAGAAAATGCCTTGTTATTTGAACGTAAATTGCGTTCCAATCTTGCAAATATTTTTAAGCTTGGAATAACACGTTCGGGGTATCTCTGGGCGTATAACTGAACTGCTCTTCTAGGGTTCTTTTGAGATTCCCCATAAACTAATAACATGTCGACTTTTTCATTGTGCGTGAACATTTTTCAAAGCCAAATAACAACATAACAATATTTGTCAACCATTAATTTAATTTGACAGATACGTCTTTGCTATTTGTTTCCAAAGGCGACTTGTTTAAATTGTGACTATTCTGAATTTTTGATTATACTTTTTTTTACAAATTTGCTTATAATTTTTAAAGTGAAGGAGATATCAAATTTTTTTCTTTATAAAATTTGTTCAGAAAAATTAGCTCTTTTTAAATTTGTAAAAATATAGGTATGTTTCAGAAAAAAAAATCGATGACGTCATTACCTCAGTTTCCAAATATGGACAAATATGCAAATTGGGCTTAAAACGGACCTTACTCTATCCCATTTAAGAACCTCTTTTCAACTTTTTCCTATCTTTTTCCCTTGTCCTTTAATGGAGCTGAGACATCGAGTTTCGCTCACCCTGTATATACATTGAGGTTAAGATGCCAAAAATTCCAAATTGCGAGAAATGCTCTCTCAATATTGTCGATGATGGAATGGCGCCCCGTTGCGATAGCTGCGGGGTCTTTTTCCATTTGGATGAAAAGTGCTCCGGATTGTGTGTCAGTGAGCAGTGTTCAATTGTTGTTCAAAAACGCTCAGTGATCTTTTTCTGTGAAGACTGCAAAACTTCCTTCAAATAAATTCCTCTATTGATGCTTATATTAATCATTGTTCTGCTGATAAGCATATAGTGGAAAACAACCCTAATAATAAGCTATACATTTTTGGGGACTATAATCTTCCACATGTTACATCGAATTATTCGTATGATGATGGTCTCTCTGTCTCTTGCCCTGCGGAATATCCAGCAGTAATAATTAGTGAGAGTTTTTCCTACTTGAATTTGAGTCAGGCCAAATTCAAAATCAGCACTTTTAAGAAGCGGATTATGTAGATTTAAATAATTATTTTGCTCCAATTAATTGGAAGGGTATATTAGTCAATAATAATATTAATGTTAGTGTTGAAATTTTTTTATCAGATTTTAAAATTGGCATTAGCTTTATTTGTACCTGTTAGGAGATATAAACCATCACTTTACCCTAGATGGTTTTGAGCTGAACTTAAAAAGTTGATTTCTCGCAAGAAGGCAACTCATGCTGTATTCAAAAGTACTCGCTCAGCTATTGATTACTTAAATTTTTCTAACCTTCGGTCTCAATGTAAAAATTTACCAAAACTAAATTTTGAAAATCATATTTCTGGTATAGATCTGAAGGTTTGTGAAAATACAAAATACTTCTGGAACCACATTAATTCTTTGAAACAAGACCATGGTATTCCCAATAGAATGTATTATAATGGTACAATTGCTGGTAATAGGACTGTTTTGGAGAAAGTTAGTGAAATCAAGGATCTAGGTGTAATCTTCGATAGTTCTTTGACATTTGTCCCACACATGAGATCCATCATTAGTAGAGCTCTGAAAATATTGGGATTTGTGACCAGGAACTCTAGGGAATTATATGTGCCTACATTCCGAACCCATTACTTAACACTAGTGCGCAGCATCCTGTTATATCCTTCAACAGTCTAGTCACCTCATTACCGTACTCATATTTTAAATTTAGAAGCAGTTCAAAATAGGTTTCTAAGAATTTGTCAGTGGAGGTTACATATGCCTTATCTTTCTCCTTATTGTCAGTTGAGAAAACGTTAATTAGTAATGATCTTTTATTTCTTTATAACCTCCTGGAAGGGAATATAGCTTGTCCAGATATGTTGGAGCTAATAAACTTTAGATTAAACAACATAAATTTTAGAGAGAAACCATTAGTTTCAATTAGCTTCCATCATACGAACTACGGACTCAACAGTCCTTTAACCAGATTTCAAAGGCAAGAAAATGAAATTAACATACACACTAACATAGGCGCCGAATCCTCGGGGCTCTGGGTGCGGAAGCACTCAAAAATTGACGGGTTTGAGCGTTTTTTCGTAAATGACCTGAGGTGCCAAAAATTGTTTTTTTTTTTTCGTTTTCAAATGTCAGCCCTGTATATATACAATACTCCATTATATGTGTATTAATAAATCATCAAAAATCTCCTTCTAAATTCATGATAGGTAATAAATGTTTTATATTGCGTTTCTATTTATTTCATTGGAACTCCCATCTGCCGCTTCAATCCTCAAAACTCCAGCAAATCGACATTTAACAATACCTTTCTTTTCCAAGAACATTTTCATAAAATCAATGCTTTAAACTGGCTTTAAAAAAACCGGTGGTGACCCTAAGTGGGTTGTGGTGGGGAAGGGGGGAGTCCCCATTTCTCACATAGAGGCCGGACACCCAAAGCAATTTTTCCAGTGCCAGTTCTGGCGCACACTAATCTTTTGGGAATTAATCGGTTTAGGTTTAAAAATCAGCTGAGGGAGTACTTATCGAGTTAGCTTTAGCTCTAAGTTTTGTTTCTAAGTTTTTGTGATATTTAAGATATTTAAGTTTTTTTTCTTTTTTGTTTGATACTTTAGATTAGGTTTAAAATATCTACTGATAATAATTATTTTGTAAAAGGAGATTTTCCGTAAATAAATAAAATAAAAAATAAAAATATATTGATGATAGTATATAATTATTACAATATTCTATTTTTAGAAAATTTGGGACATATCAGGACTACTCAAGATACTACTTTAAAACTTATTACGTTTGGAGTTTCCAAAGGAAATATTTATTTTATTGCAAACAGTCCTATGAGCAAACTGGATTTCGGAACCCTTATAATGAAGGAAAAGTTTAATATATTAAAACCGATAAAAGTAGAAGCAGCTACGGTACTCCTCTTTACTAATGTCATTGTCTTTGCAACCACAAATACGGTAAGTAAAAGTTTTAAGAGTGAACATATACATTTTTTCTTTCCTGTATGCAGTAAGTATAGGAATCTAGATTCTGTATTATTTATTTGTCGTCTTCTAAAGGTTTCAACGTTGGCATCCTCGGCAGAAACATAATAATCTGATTGAACATTTATGCCAAGTTCACGGTGTTTTAGTAATGTAAATACCAAAGACATTACAACTAAGAGACCAAATTGTTTACATTTTTATGTGGCAAATCATTATTCCCACCAGATTCTCGTTTATTGCGTCTTTGCCGGTTTCATCAGTCTGTAAAAATTATTTGGAGAAATTACTTTTGAAAAATAAAATTTGATGTATCCTATAACTACAATTTTATATTATATAAATAAAAAAATATTTTTTAAAATTTTAATATAAGCTAATTTTTTTATTAAAAATCAATATTAATCTAAACAAAATATTAGGGTTGCAAAGAACTCAGTAAATACGGCAACGGTGAATCTTATTTTACGAATTTACAACTAGTAGTTCAGGAACTGAAGGGACCAACCTGTTATTAAGTCGGTCCAGATTTCCGTTGTGGCTCAACTCTTAGGTCTCGGTGGTCGTTTCCAAGGTCGAAAACTTTTACCAACTCTGCTGCGTCGGAAAGGGCCCAAAATGGACCCTAAAACTGGTTTCCCGCCAATATCTTCCACAATATGCAAATTAGAGAATTTTTGTTTAAATAAAAAAGAAAGATCTTATCATTATCTACAAAAATAGTCCCTATCATTTTTGTCGGGAATTCGACAGGTTTCGAGATAACCGCAATCAAAAGTCCCCTCGTTCAGTCCCTGCTTTATCTCTATAGCAATGCTGATTAGCTTGTAAACGGGTGGACAAATTGTTTCAGAACTCGGTCAAAAATTGATATTTTTCGATGATTCAAAGTTCATTACAATGGAAAAACCCGTAGGTATCGATCCATGTGCCTTGAAGCCCGTTATTTCCTGTCAAGATCATTGAAAAAGTGGTAAAAATTGCGTTTTCCCACTATTTTGGACCACTTTAAAGTAATTCATTCATATTTTTCTAGAGTTCTAGAAATCTCTGAAACAAGCAGTAATTAAAAACTCATATTTCATTATATTGTTATTCAATGAACACCATTTTAAAAAAATACATTCGAAAAATAGACACTCTAAGCTTTAAAATGGTGTGCATTGAATAACAATATAATGAAATATGAGTTTTTAATTACTGCTTGTTTCAAAGATTTCTAGAACTCCGAAAACGTATAAAAAATGCAAATAAACAAATCAATTTTGTTTTAAAACGCCAGGAAGATACTGAAAAAAAATTTCTCAGATCATTCGAGACATCTCAAGATCCCATTTAAAACAAAAATGGGATAAAAAAAACTATTAAAAGAAAAAAAATATGAATGAATTACTATAAAGTGGTCCAAAATAGTGGGAAAACGCAACTTTGACCCCTTTTTCAATATTCTTGACAAGAAATAACTGGCTTCAAGGCACATGGATCGATAGCTATGGGTTTTTCCATTGTAATGAACTTTGAATCATCGAAAAATATAAATTTTTGACCGAGTTCTGAAACAATATGTCCACCCGTTTACAAGCTAATCAGCATTGGTCCGCTAAAAGTAAGCGATTCATCTTCCATTCCCGAACAGCCTACAATTAAATATTTGGGAGTTATTTTAGACCGTCACCTAAGATGGAATTATCATATTGACCATGTTGTACAAAAAATTAGGGGTTTTCTGTCACGTTTTAAATTTTTATCGAATTATTTAGACATCAGGCATCTTCGAACTATTTATTTTTCACTAATCCAATCACAAATAACCTACGGTATAATTGGATGGGGTAGCACCAATCAATGTTACCTAAAAAATATTAACGTTATACAAAAATGGATTATAAAATTAATGTATAAAAAAAATAAAACTTACCCAAGTGATAAATTGTACAAAGAGAGCCAAATTCTTGATTCTAGACAACTATATGCATTACGACTTTTGTTAAACATCTATAAACGTAGGCCAGAATTGCAAACACAAACACATCAATACGAAACTCGAACAAAAAATTTATACTTACTACCAAAATGTGAAAAAACCATGGGTCAACGCAGTCCCATGTATATAAGCACAAAATTACTTAATTGCCTACCTGAACACATAAGAAACTCAGCTTCGTACTATATTTACAAGAAAAATGTGAAATATTGGATACAAAGTACAGGTGCAACATTTTTTCAAAATATAATGAATCCATGATGTTCATATATAAAACTTAGGTATATGTAGTTATTCCTAAAATTATTATTATTGTGATACTAATTAATCTTGATTGTGTACAAAATATTTTAACAGTTTTAACAGATTTTAACCATTGTTTTGTTTAAGATTGTGTGGAAAATAAATATAAATATAAAAAAAATATAGCAGACTGCAAATTTTTATCTAGCCAGTTTTAATTAATTTTATTTTTAATTACCTTTATGTATCATTGTAGTTATAGTTATTACATTAGTATTATTATTGTTATTATTTATTATTATTAATTATTATTATGCTTCCCCGCACACAGACACAATCGTGTCTCAGCGGATGTATGAATGTTTATTTATTTATTATTGCTATAGAGATAAAGCAGGGGCTGAACGAGGGGACTTTTGATTGCGGTTATCTCGAAACCTGCTGAATTCCCGACAAACCATTTGTTTTGCATAGAACTCTGGTCTTTCTCGATTGGTCCGAAATCGACAAGGTGATTGTGTCACTCTTTCTTTCCACGATACAGCTAACCTTCAAAAATTAATAGATGATAACACGTGATGAGCTAATCGCCGCGCTGAATGAACGATTAATTGATCAAACTGTAACGAGTGATTGGTCAAGCAGTAAGAGAGGGGATGCTGCTCCTCTTCATATTGTTTGGCGTTAAAACGACCAGAAACATTCCTTAAAACACCGAAACACACCGAAACAACAGCTTTTCGCATTGCTTGAAAAATCCAAGCCATGCCGGCAGGAGAATGCCCGAAAGAGTGGAAAAAAGCACTGAAAATATTTACAAAAAAGTGCACATTAGTAATGTCAAGAAGAAAGATTTACTAAAACTTTCCAAAGCAGGTGATGAATTTCACCATTATTATCATAATCTACCTTTATCCATCCAATAATATTAAAGACACTTCCTGAACCTTCCACAGAAGCCAGGGACACAGACATTGAATATTATGACTTGCAAAATGCACATAGAATCTTGTGTGCGAACTCGACATAGAGAGAGAGACATTACATAAGAATTGCAGTCTGTCGAAGGAAGATAATCCCACTACTTACTGTATGTAGACAGCTAAAAGAAGCTTAGTGACGTTTATCTCTTTTTTTTTTGTTACCAATCGATATATTCTTAGTTTATATTTTGTAAAGCGTGATTATGTTCTAAATTTCTTTTTTTTTTTCATTGGAGATATCAAATTGAAGCTAAAAATGCGAGTTATCTTGTTTTTGCAATAACCCGATGAGATATATTTATGTTTTATGTTTTATTTATTAGAAGTTCCTACTAACTATACTCTGTTTTTAAACTAGGAGGAGCGAATTGAAAAGACGCATTTACACAGGGAAAAGTAACTAGATGTGTTACTAAGAGCGAGTTTCGAAATATAGTGGTGTTCAAAATTTATGAAATAATTATCTTTATCGGCCTTAGTCGGTGAACGGCCAATGAGCGGTTAAGAAACGAATAAATGTCATAGAAGTAATTTTTTAATTGGTCCCAGACAACGGTCGCAAATTTCACATTATTGTGATCTGAAATGTGTGTCTAAAACGAAATGTCACTGTCAAATTAAAGTCAATATGGTTGTTGATTGATGTCAGAAATACTTTTTTCTTGCTTTTGAAATCGACTTTTTGAGAATAACTATGATCTTTTTAAATGGATATTAAATATTTAAGAAAATTATTAATGGAATATCCAGATGTAGCCAGGTTAGTATAAAATATAAAGATATGTTTACATTTTTAAGGATATATTTGTTATAGGTATAAAAAGTAAAAGTTAATCAGTGAATGACAAGTGGATCACACAGTAACTGGTATCTCTTCTATGAGTAATGTGGATATTATGGCTTATTTAGTGTTAACCCATGGTTAATGCGCTAGAGGGCAAATAAAGGCATTCAAAAGTTTACAGGCCTATGAGTCAGAATTTGTTTGGAAACTGGAACCAACATTTTCATAACACTACATGTCAACATATATTTTTTAAAGTGAACTATTCATACATACCTATGTATTAATTTTAAGTATTTTTTAAATATTTTTTGTGAAAGTAATGTTAACTCCTTGTGCCAAATTAAGATTGTTCCTAAAGTAGTAGATGGTGTTTTAAATGTTATGTTATAACAATTTTGTAAATAGTTTTATTCTATTCTAATAAATAAAATTTGCTTGAATATTTAGTTACATTTTAATCATTTTGGTTAGAAATTCATCAATTTTTAGTTTTAAAAAATCAGTAATAAAATTATTTTTTTCTAAAATACTTCGGAATTCATCTCTTCATGGTAATCTTCCATCTTTTTACCTTCAAAAACCAATAATGCATTTTCTACAAAACTTTAGGATCAGCATGTAAAATAATAAGGTGTCTTCCCTTTCTTGTAAGGTTTTTCAGGAATTGCTACCTTTAATAGTACTCAGTGTAGAAGGATCCATAATTGTAGATTTTCAATACAATTGCTTACTGAAGAACTATTATTTACGAAATAAACTAAAAAACTAAGTAATGGATGAGATATCAAATTATA